GCCTAAGTTAATTGTATCCAGTTTGCAAATTAATTCCAATTCAGCAGTCTCTCGTTGGAGTCTGGTTTTGAAGTCTTTTTGTTCTAATATTGCGACTTTTAGGTCTGTAATCGAGTGACCAGAGAGATTGAAGTGTTCTCCGATTGGTTTTTGAATGTTATAATTCTTGACATCTGATTTGTGTCCATTTATTCTTTTACATAGAGACTGTCCAGTTTGACCAATGTACATGGCAGAGGGGCATTGCTGGCATATGATGGCATATATCACATTGGTAGATGTGTAGGTGAACGAGCCTCTGATAGTGTGGGTGATGTGATTAGGCCCTATGATGGTGTCCCCTGAATAGATATGTGGGCACAGTTAGCAAAGGGCTTTGTTGCAAGGATAGGTTTCTGGGTTAGTGGTTGTGTTGTGTGGTGTGTGGTTGCTGGTGAGTATTTGCTTCAGGTTGGGGGACTGTCTGTAGGCAAATAGCTCATCTTAAGTGATCACTCTCCTTACAGTGTATATGCTAACACCCATTTTTTCATGTTCTGTGTGTATATAAATCTCCTCACTGTATTTTCCACTGAATGCATCCAATGAAGTGAGCTGTAGCTCACAAAAGCTTATGCTAAAATAAATTGGTTAGTCTCTAAGGTGCCACAAGTACTCCTTTTCTTTTTGCAAATACAGACTAACATGGCTGCTATTCTGAAACCAGTTTAAAGGAAGAAGCATTAGAGGCTGCCCAATTTTTTGTGTGGGAAGAGCTTTTTCAAGATACCTCTATAAATCATCCAACAGCCCGTAAATACTAAATTAGCTTGGTACTGGAATATGAAGGTGATAAATGATTATAAAAGAGAAGACAGTGAAGCGCACATCCAGTGATTACACAGTAACACATGTTATAATTAAGAATACTAACAATGAACAATCCATTCCAATGGGATTTTTTCCTAACAAGCTTGTCTCAGTGGACATTAAAAGTTCACTTGAGAGTTTGACCAGTTCCTCTGTATCCATCACAGGGCATTCAACCACTTTTGTTCCCAGAATATAGCATGAGTTATGAAAGCTGAAAAGAGCTTCAGGTTAGGTGCAAATTAGCTTTGATTCTGGAAGACACGCCTGAGACCTGCTTAAATGGCCAAAATTTATCTGAAAGCTAATTTCATTTTAAAACACTACTTTGCAGCATAACTTGGGTTTGAAAGAATTTAATTCAGTATCCCCAGCTGGGCTATCAATTCAGCTATCCTGATGGTAATGGTGGTTATCATTTTGAGCAACAGAATAGTTGATTGATAGGAACTGTAGGAATATTAGTCAGCTTACCAAAGTTGTTCAGAGTAGTTCAGGAGACTTGTGCAGCCTGAATGCTCTTTACCATAATGGCTACCTTTCTTCCCCAAAGACCTTTTATTCTGACATACAGATTATCCTCTGATTAGATTTTTAAAACCCTTCAGAAAGGGTAAAATCAAATACCCTTTGCACAGTTACATCAAGATTCTTTTTTACCACTGATTTTCAGAAATTTGGCCATTTCCAATATGTGATACCATGAACAGTTCTTACTTCTTAATTGGGTATCAGTGTTTTAAATTAGGCATGCAGTTATTATACGAAAATCAAGTGCCTTTATTCCATTAAATAAAGGGGAAGTATTTGCCCCTCTTGTTTTCCACAGTATTTTATTTATTTTGTGATAAGAATTCATGTAAATAAGACCCAGGACTTTAACTATTTACAAGACTGAATTATCTGTCACTGTATTTTATTTAACTAGTTTATTTCAGTTAAAAAGGAAATGGCAGTTCTTGATATTTAGTTCAATGGGAGCAGAATTGATTTTTATTGTTATCTATACTAGTGACTTATTTCTGGTGCTCATTAAACTTTTAAGCACATTTTTTCCACTTTTGATTCAATATTTCAAGCAGCACTTCAGCTTGTGCAGTCAGATTTGGAAAGTGCACAGACTGAGCAGTGGTGTGGGAGGACTAATACAGCTGGAAATCATTCCCCTGAACTGATCCTGGTATTTCAGTTGGCTTCATAATTAAATTTAGAACTGAGACCCTCACAGCCAGGCAAACTGTGGAAGGAGAAAGATGTCCTCAGAATTAGCATGAGGCAAGTGGGATTGTTCTATAAACGGTGGGCCAGATCCTGGAGTCCAGTCAAACTGGGCACAGCACAGGACAGGAGCAGAAGCAAAAGCAAAGATGGCCTAAAGCTCACCTTTGCACTCTGCTGATCCTAGAGGTGCTTTGTGCAAGGCAAGTCACCGGGCATAAACTGGAACAACCCACTTCTGTTGTACTGCCCACAAAAAATCTACTTGACATATCCATATATATTTGTGTGTGGGTGTTATGTATCTGCATCAAGGGGCAAGTATGCTCTCTCCTGTGTTTATATATCCACCTGTGTCAATAAATGCATAAAAATAAAGCCCAGATCCCCAAAGGATCTCAGGCATTGCAATGTTGAGTGCCTAACTTTTAGGCACCTAGAAAATCACAGGAACAATGCTGCGATGCCCAAAGCCGAGTTAGGTGCCGAGGCTCCCATACAATGAGAGGGGAGAGATAGGTGCCTTAGAATAGCATCCCCAAAAGCCAGCATGCTAAGCAGGGAGCCTCCTAAGCTAGACAGTGGGAGACTGCAATGCTAAGCCCTACCTTCTCTCTGAGATAGGCACCTAGGTCCAGGTTGCAGAGAGGCACATATATGACTGCTTAGCGATCCATGAAAAGAAACCCACTTTGGCATCTAAGTAGTTTCTTGTAGCAATCAGTTAAGTGCTGGCCTCTCCCGGGCACCCAGGGAACTTTTACCCTGAAAACGTAGGTGCCGAGTGAGTCTAGGTGCAGTGGGCGTTTTGTGCATCACATTGAAGCCAAAACTAGGACTTAGATGCTTAAACCTGAGGCTTAGTGCCTAAATCTCGGGTTTAGGAGCCTAAGTATCTTTGTGGACCTGGACAAAACCCATGCTATATAAAGCGCCCTGGGGCTGAGGGACACATCTGGTAAAATAATTCTCTTGACAAAACTCCTGCTAACTCTCTCTCTCTCTCTTATCGCCCAAAGTCAGGTTTTTATAATTGTAGAGAGAGAGCCTAAACAGACCACTCCTCCCCAGTTAGGCCCAACAACACCTGTAAAACTAGACCTAGCTCCTCCATCTATGTTTTTTTTTTAATGTAATTCATAAATTGATACTCTTTTACAGAGGAAATGTATTTAATTATAAATTGAGGAAATAAACCCTGTTCTTGGTCACATTGTTTTGGGTGTAATTCCCTGCATTCGCACTGTTTGTGTCACTGACATTTCTAGCGCAGCACAAGATGTGGCAGAGTTTCATGTGAGATCTGGCACAATTTGCAGACTTTGCATCAAGCTCGAGCTTGAACTCTGACTGCAAGAAGCACCACAGTTCTAACATGTTCACATTGTTCTGTGTTTAAAGCCAAGCTATGAAAGCCTTTTTTTGGCCCATAAAAGTTTCTTTGTCCTCAGGATCTTTCCACTTGATATCATATTATTGTTCTGTATATTTAATTAGTGCATCAGGAAACAATGTGGAGGATATTTGTGCCAAAAAAAAAAAAAAAAGACAGAAAAGAAATGTTGTACAGAGATTCAAACTGGAGCAATCTGGTATAAACAACACCTAACATTAGTCATTTTAGTCTCTTCAGTTCTTTGAAGATTTTTTAGCATATAGATGGGGCTGCGCTACAAATTTGCTTCTGTCTTTGGATTTCAAAACCTCCAAATATTGGAGTGTGTGGTGTTATTGTGGCTGTTTGAATACCGATATTTGTTTCACTTTATTATGGAGTTAGTGGCTAGCACTAAAATTCAAAATCCTATCCAGGGTTAATTTATAAACACTTGCAAAGTTAATAAGTGCTCTAACATCGGGTGTTGATTCAGGACCATCCTTCATTTACTATTTGGCTTTTGGGACAGTGTTGTATCCTTCGTGACAACCAAAAATTTGGAAGGGATGTTCAATCTTGTACTTCAGGGCTTAAGCCAATATCTAACTATTAGAGATCAGGATGAGATCTAATGTGGTGGGGAGCAGGGGGAGGAAGCAGATCCCACATCTGCCAAACTTCTACATAAAAGGTGTGAATGAATTGAAAAGTTGAAACCTCTCATCAGCCAAGAAGCTTGACTTCAGGTGCAGAAGGGATGCAGTGCTGACCCCAGCTTTCCTGCAGATTATGAGGTGGATTCTTATCCCCAACAGCATAGATTTCCCTGTACAATATTGTTTGAAATACCTTTGAGGAGCTGGGTTATGTCACTTGGACCTAAGTCCCATCTTCCAAAGACTTTAAAGTCCTATTAACTTTCAGTGGAATTTAGGAACCTAAGTGACTTAAGCACTTTTGAAAATGTTACCACAAATAAATAAAATGTAGTTATTATTTATTATTATTGATTGTTTACTAAGGAGTCTTCTTAAAAGCAATAGTGATTTAAGCATGGCACCACATTCACTGAACGTTGTACACTAAGTTTCCGTAAATGCATGCATATCTCTATCGATCTTTCTCCTGTAGGCATATTGTATAGTGCTCTATTTTACATAGCAATGAAGTGTTGTTGCATTGTCCAAGATGTATTCTCTCCTGATTCTTTCTATTGAGTCTTACATTTTAACACAACCTTCAGTCAGTTAAAGCATACAAATGAACAGAAGAATGGCCACACTGGACCACACCAATGGTCCACCTAGCCCAGTATCCTGTCTTCTGACAGCAGCCAATGCCAGGTGCTTCAGAGGGAATGAAAAGAACAGGCAATCATGGAGTGATCCATCCCCTGTTGTCCACTCCCAGCTTCTGGCAGATATGCCTGTGCAATACTAAAGGAAAAACTTCCCAATCAGTAGATTTGTGAACTTTAATCAAAGGTAAATGAAAGGTGATATTCATATAATTTAATTATAGTCCACAGGATTTCACAAAGATCTATGTGGATAAATGTCACAGAGATACACATGGTCAAAAAACTGTCCGTTAAAGAATGTCATACATACAAGCTGGAAAACTATTATTATTGCTACTTCAGTTAAGGCTATTATCTGATAGCAAATGTAAAAATCATGTTACTACTATATATTGTTCCTTTCTTGCTGAAGAAAACAAAGCTTAAAGCTTCATCTTGGAATCATTTCATCCACCACTGAAATGTAGCTTCTGCTAAAATGGAATATGGCAGCTTTTTTAATAGGGCACAAAAGGTTAAGATAGACAGTGGAAAAGAATACTATGTACCACAAACAGAAACTACTGGGAAAATTTAGGAAAGCAGAATGAGGGGAAAGAATTTGACCAGAACACTGAGTCCAACACTAATTTGACCAGGACATCGATTGAGAAAGTAAATTGTAGTCATTTACCTCATTTTACAAAAATCTTTAAAGAGCACTTGGCATAATTCTATGCTAAGAAACCCTAAAAAGTTTATATTTTTTAATGGGAGAACATAGGTAGCAGAGAACAAAATAGCTCTAACGGCAAAATCATCAACAACAAATGGTCATAAATAGCCCTTTAAGCACTCTGACACATTTCTTTAGTGTCAAAGGAACATCAGGAAGAACAAATGGTTGTATTCCTGAATTTGGGTGCCATCTAGATCCACCTCCAACCCTGAATCATTCCATCTTGAAAATTTTGTAATCCTTATGCAAAAGTTTTTCAGCGGATTCATAGTCTCAGAAGAAATATATAGTACTTTTATGTTTGATCTGCATTTTAGTAGGGAATAATGGAAACATTTGTATTTTTCTTCTCGATCTTGAAATTTCTTCATTTTAATAAATTACTTCTGGGGGAATTCTGAGGTACTGCGCGCATGCAGAATTCTTATCCTCTGCCGAATTTTTTTTTTCAGCAGAAAATACATATTGCCAGAGAGACACTGCAGTTATGCCTTTCACCCACCAGAGGCTGCTGTGCACCAGAACAGAGGGAAGCCACTCCCAGTCAAAAGTAGCCAGCCACAGAGAGGGGAGAGAGACGAGAAGAGTCTGTGTTCCTCACAGCGTCCTGCCCATGGGCCAGATGAGGAAGCACAGGATATGGAGGGGGACAATATGAGGCAATTGGTTCTGATGAGTGATCACAGACTGGTGTTCAGAAGGGCTAAGGGGGGGACAGACTGGGGTGGGGCTGAATGGGACTGGGGGGGTGCAGGGCCATAGGCAGAAGGGGGTGCAGGGACATGTGGGGGTGGGGGAAGAGGATGGCTGAGTGGGAGTGCAGGGACATATGGGAAGGGGGGAGGGGATGCAGAGACACATGGGGATGGGGAGGGGTAGCTGAGTGGGGGCGTAGGGACACATGGGGACACAGGGTGGGATGTGCAGGGACACATAGGGATGCGGGAGGGGTGGCTGAGTGGGGGTACAGGGACACATGGGGACAGGGGTAAATGTGCCTGACTGAATAAGAGAGGCTAGGGGTCAGCCAAAGTCTGAGTGGGGGGAGGCTCTCCCACTCCCTAACAATCCTCCCTGCAAAAACATTGTTCCATACTTCTCCCTCCTATAGCCAATAGCCCTCCAGGCTCATTCCTAGCAATTACTTTCCTCTTCATCAGCTCCTTCATTACCCTTGACTCTCCCAAGCCTTTGCAATGTTTCTGAGGGGTGCAGGAAATGTTTCTGTATTGTGGTTTAAATGAATTATTACTCAAAGTTCTGTATTAATATATCTAGTAAAAATCTATTTGTCAGAAACATTTCCTGAATCTTTTTTGTTTTCTATATTGTTACAGGCATACTTGCTGACAGGTATTTTGAAATAAATTACCAAAATAATTGAAACTGGCATGGTTATATTTTATTATTTTGTAAAAAAATATGCAGAATCATGCAGAATTTTAAAATATTGTGTGCAGAATTTTTAATTTTTTGGTGTAGAATTCTCCCAGGAGTATAAAATGTACTAAAACTGGAAAGAAATAAACGCAGTAGTCTTGACTATAACTTGGCTTTTCTCCCAAACAGTCAGGATATATCCTTATTTGCAATATACAAAATTCTAAAAGTTCCTGGTGGATGTGCTTTGCTTTTACAGCTACCTCCTACTAACTTGTGGATTCTTTTTGGACAAATTGGGATACCTTTGAATAAACTGCAATAACTTGTTTCCTTTCATTAATACAATGTAGTTAAGATTTGCAAAGTCTCTGAAGGGATTTAGCAGCACATGTCCCCATGAAAACCAATGGGGCTTGTGCTCCTAAATGCCCTCGGCACTACTGAAAATCATTCCCATAATTATTAACATTATTTAGATGAGCCTAAGCCAGAAAATGTAACTCTGAGTTTGCATTCTTATTTCCTTCACCCACAAAGTTTGGGGCTGTTCAGATTTTCCTGTTCAGCCCATTATATTCAAAATCAGACCCTAGGTTAGGATTTTGGAGTTGAGATCCAGGTTTGAGTCTAGATTTCTTCCTTACACTAAATATAAAGTTTTTGGGGTTAGAAATTCGGGTTTGAGTTCAAGTTTCAGGGTATTAAGTCAGGCACATTCTATTAAATTTAGATAGGTTTAAATAAGTTTCAGACTGTAGGATTTATAACACAGCACAATGTGTATGTGTGTTTGTGTACATGCTATTCCCAGTGTACAGCCTGAGGTAGCTACTAAATTAGTAGTGCAATTACCCATTGGATAGCTAAGGAGAAACACCACATGGAATTCTCTGGTTTAAGCTATAAAATTGTAACTCATTTAGGGCTGATGAGAGAAAATAGCAGTACTATTTATATATAGCCCTTTCTAGTAGTCAGCAGTATTCAGGATAGAAGCATAAAAGCCAAAGGAGTTTACATTTGGATTACAGCTGTAAAATTCAGAAAACCCAAACCCCAGAAAGATTGTTCTTGTTGACACACAAATATACTACTCCACCTGCTATAGAAGATCTTACACTCTGATGAGGATCCATCCTGGACTTTAGGTGGCACAAGCAGACTGGCTGCATGGGGAAAGAAGCTGGCCCTTCCCATATTTTCAGAACAGACAGGGAGCAGTGTTCTTCTTAGCTACCTTTCCATTGTGTCTGCATTCGCCTGTGATTCGTGCTGGGGGTACACCAGAGACTCATCTGGGCTGACATCATGATAGGATGACTTTGGATCTCTGGCATCACCTTCCCTTTCCTCACATATTTAATGGCCTTCCCAACATATTCTTGAATCTTCTGCTGCCAAAGCAAACAGAACACAGTGAAACTTGAGCTCCATCGCCTGCATCACTAGACAGACTAAACTGTTCTGCCTTTTGTTGCATCTGAATCCATTTCTAATCCGTGCATTGTCTATTCAAGTTGTAAGCCCTTTACAGGAGGGACTTTTGTCTTTATATCAGTCTGCAAAATACCTATCACATAGCTAGCGCAACATAAACAATAACCACTATTTAATTGTTTTATTACTATTTAGCATATTTTATTCCAGTGGTCACCATAACAATATTTACAGACGTCATCCTGTGAGCCATTAGGCAAAAGGCACAATTTATAGTGACAGCTACCGTATTGTTATGGTTAATAGCAATGACGTATTTGTCATGGCATTGCATTACAATACTAATTTCTTCTAATAATACCCTTTTTATCTGATGGATTCAAACAGGTTCCAGTGGGTTTAAATCCCCACGCAAATCATTTATATCTGTGCATTCTTTTTTTACAGGCTGCTGGTGGCAGGAAAGCATGCAGCTGATAGATTCATGAGAGAAAGAGAATATTGTTAAAAAACACTATTCAGAGGTTAGACTACATGTTTATCCCGTTGATCTTGACAGTGTACGGAGAAGTAAAATAGTTATGAATCTATGCTGGGATAGTATTTGGGGGGGTGGAAGGGAGGGAAGTAAGGGAGGTATATTTATATATAGTTAAACACTGTATCATAATAAATACACACAAGAGATCTGAATTAAGGTTTCACAGGCAACCTTACTTTTGGGATCTTCTAACATTTGAGTGCTTGACTTTACAACCTTAATAATGGTTTCTTAACTTAGTATATATAAAATCACAAAAAGCCCTATGTTAACAGAACATTATTGAGGTTGCAAAGCCAAGCACTCAGACATTAGGAGATCCCAGAAGTAAGGTTGTCTGGACAACCTTACTTCGGACCCCCTTGTGTGTATGTGTAATGATACAGTTTTTAATTACATGATTACATCGTAATTTTTCCACTGGGTTCCTGCCTCATTCAGTGCACAAGACGGATGGTGCTCACTTCATAAGCAGCTGTTCAATATTTTGTTTTCTCCTCATTGTTCAATGTGTGGCTTCATGCTTTATCTATTACACACTACTCAAAACCTGCTCAGCAGACAGAATTATGAATTTCCTCATGGGAGTTTTCCATGGTGTTCATTGCTATAGTATCTGAGTGTTTCACAAACATTAATAGATTTATTTTCTCAACACTCTTGTGAGATGAAGAAGTATTATTATATTCATTTGACAGATGGGGAACTAAGGCACAGAGAAAATAAGGGCAAAAGTTTTCATTAATTTTGGTGCCCAACTTGAGACACTTATGTCCCATTTTTAAAGAGAATTTAGCACTATAAAGCACTTCACATGTTCAAGGCACAGTTTCCATTGACAGTTGCATCTGTGAGTCCTCAGTACTTCTCAGATCAGACCCCAGGGTATTAAGTCAGGCACTCAGAAAATGAGGAACACACAATAAGTGACCATCTGTGAAAAGACCATTTAACTGTCTTAACCATGAGGCCGTCCTTTCTCTTTCCGCAGTCCCCTGCCTCCTTCGCTACACTACACATCTTCCAGCTTCTGCAAGAAAATGAAGCAGGGGTCCTACAGACAACAGCCTTCACTACACAACCCTGATTCATCACCAGAGCAAGTCCAATCTGTGCACTGAATGAAACAAGGGTCCTGTGAGAAAAACTATTATGTGATCATGTAATTAAAGACTGTTATAACTGACATGCACAGGAATTGTATAATATGCCTTTAAATAATTGGGAGCACTTTAGTGGACCTCCCTGTCTTCTATGGTAGTATCCATCAGTATTATTCTTACGTATACTACATAAGTAGATAGAACTTGCATATGGGTATACAATAAATATGGTTATCTGGAATCCAACAGTCTTTGTGTAGTTTTTCATATTCTTAATGTTGTGTAAAGAGCAAGGTCATACTGGTGACACTGGGATTCTCATCCAGGAGTGCAGTGGAATACAGAGGGAATTCAGAGGTCTAGAGAAAGCGAAACTCAAACTGCAGTCTGCATTTCTGGGACTGTGAGTAACCTGCTCATTTGGGGGTTAAAAATATGTCTGGCTATTTGGGGCAAAAGGACTGATTTGATAGCTCAGTAGAGGACTGTGTCACCTATACTGAGAGACTGCTAATCATAATGATAAGAAAAAGGAGGCAGTTTTACTGAGAATAATAGGGGCTGAACCCCATACTCTGTGGGGCTGCCTAAACCAGCAGAAACATTTGCTAAAACGGTGGGATTTCTAAAAAGTTACATTTCCCCAAAGCCACCAGTGTTTGCAGAGTGGTTATGATTTCATAGATGGAATAAAAAAGAAAATTAAACAATTCCTGAATATGTGACTGGATTAAGGAAATTAACCGAGCATTGCCAGGCTGGAAAGAGTTTAAATGTTGCAGTAAAGGACCCGATAATATGTGCAAAATGAAGCAACAAAAACACAGTTATTGACTGAGCTGAATTGTCCCTAAAACATGCACTAGATATTGCAGTTTCAAGGGAGACAAGTTATTAAAGATGCCTGAGAGTTACAACAGCACCATGAAATCTGTGCAACAAATAAACTGGGGGTAAAGCAGAAAGGATAGCATGGAGACCACTCAAAGGCTGTGTGCTTTTGGTTGTGGGAAACAATCTCACAGGGCTGATGGTTGTTGGTTCATGGCAAAACCCTAAGGAAACAGCAAGAAATTGAGGCACACAGACAACATGCAGATCAGTACAAAAAAACACAACCACCTAAGATAATACAAAGACACAAAGACAATACAATGGAACCCTGTTTATCCAATCTAATTGGGACTGGGCCAGATTGGATAATCAAAAATGTGGATAATCAGGAGAATGGGCAAAGAGCTTTCTATCTCCAGCTGTCAGCTCCAGGCAACGGGGCTTGTGGCAGTCAGCACTGGGGAGCACGGCTCCGGCTGTCAGCCGGAGCCCCGCTGCCCAGTTCTGTTAATATGGAGAGCTGGATAATGGCGGCTCGGATAAATGGTGTTCTACTGTACTAGAGAATTCCACATTCATCAGCTTGCAGATGACAAGGAGTTCACAGAGAAGAGAATACTGTAGTATCTCTTTGACAGTTTAAAATACAATAACAATGTATTATTTGGATTCCTATACAAGTGGAAAAAGTAAGACTTAAATTGGAGCTTGATATGGGGTTTGCTGTTTCTGTAATTTCACAACAGGATTATCAGAGACCACTTAAAAGGATGAAGTTGCAGAAAATGTCAGTGCTTCTAAAAACATATAAAGGAGAAATCCTTGTTCACTGGGAACTATTATGATAGTGGTACCATACAACTGTAAACATCTTATACTAAACCTCTGTTTTGAGAAGCGGGGGGCCCATGCATTACTTGGTAAAGAATGGCTGAGAGATTCAATTGGATGGGTAATGCATAACATGTGTAAATGCATACAACAATCCAGCCCCAAACAAAAATTAGCTGAATTTTTAGACAAGGCAGCTCACTGATGTCTTTCAGGATGTTATTAGAACCTGAAAACATCTGAAAGAAAAAAAACTGTGCTTAAAAAGGGAGCAATTCTTAAAGTTTGCAACGTTTGTCCAGTACCTTTTGCTATTCAGCCAAAGATAGAGAAATACCTTTAGTACTTACAGGACTCTGGATTTTTATCCAGAGTTAACTGGAATGAATGGAGCATTGCTATAGTGCCAATAATGAAAAAAAATGGATCTGTTCGTATCTGTGGTAATTTCAGAGTTAGAGTTAACTCAGTATTACACACAGATCAGGATTCTTTGCTCAGAATACAGCATATATTTGCATCATTAGATGGTGCTAAACATGTCTTCATGATCGACCTAGCCCAAGCCTATCTACATATGGAGATTGAAGATTGTGACAAGAAGTGCCTCACAATTAACACAGACAAGGGTTTGTCTATATAATAAGGTTCCAAGATTGTCACTCTGTCTATGGGTCACTCTGAAGCCCAAAATTTCTGTTGAGTCCGTGTGAATCGATGGAAATAGCAACAAGCACAGTTGAGAGCTCCTTGGTTAGAATATCACCAGGTTCAATCATTACTGGGATTTGCAGTCTGTTACTAAACAATTATTAAGCTCTCAGCCTTATGAATTACACTCGTTTTGTGTTCAGCTACAATAAGGCATGTAGCTATGCCATGCTAAGAATCCTAGACTAGTGTGATATCAGAAGTAACTCAACCAAGCATCTTCCTTACTCTGCAGCTAATCTGCAGGCAGCAATTTCATTGGTTGTATGAGGGAGACCGTACTCATGGTGGATTACTTGGCCCAAATTCCAAACGCCTGTGACAGCACAGGTTTTCAGCGATAATTTTCAATATAGCAGACTAGTGCTTGGAATAGTACCCACACCTGCTATTTGGCAGGGAGCCTTGCACCAGAGTATTACAATGCATTCCTGGTACTCAGTCTTACCTGTGTGATATGCTGATCATGGAAGCAACTGAGAAAAACTACCACAAGAATCTCCAAAAGTTACTTTTGAGACCAGCTGTCAAGGTTCCTTCCCCGCTCTGAACTATAGGGTACAGATGTGGGGACCTGCATGAAAAACCCCCTAAGCTTATTTTTACCAGCTTAGGTTAAAACTTGCCCAAGGTACAAACTATTTTACCTTTTGTCCCCGGATTTTATTGCTGCCACCACTAAGGGTCTAACAAATATAACAGGGAAAGAGCGTGCTTGGAAACGTCTTTCCCCCCAAAATCCCCCCAAGCCCTACACCTCCTTTCCTGGGGAAGGCTTGATAAAAATCCTCACCAATTTGTATAGGTGAACACAGACCCAAACCCTTGGATCTTAAGAACAACAAAAAAGCAATCAGGTTCTTAAAAGAAGAATTTTAATTAAAGTAAAAGAATCACCTCTCTAAAATCAGGATGGTAAATACCTTACAGGGTAATC